GCAGACACACAGACCTACAGAAAGAAGTACATACATAGGCAGGCTGGCAAAGGTGAAGGCCAAGGGGCTTTGGGCTTCAGAAAAGTATTCATTACTTATGTACAGAATATGTGAAATATATATATAATTACATCTAGCATCAGCCATTTTGTATTGACACACAGTCCCCTGGATACTCAGAGTCAGCCGTCTTGTCCATGCTGGATACCCATATCAGGACCATATGGTCTAAACATAAACTGGCCTTTACTGCCCTCTGTTCCATACAACATGACAACTCTTGTTCGGTTCTGTTGACATTTCTTCCCCTATTTTGAATTTAGGTTCAATATATTACATTGCTTTCTTCTCCACTGTTTCTATAGCATGATGATATCACATACTCATGTGTGCTCAGGTTTAAAGACTGGCTAGTATGGACAGGAGTATAACATCGTTCTCATTGTGGAAATTCACTGTGGATCTGAGGAACAAAATGGTGACAAGATAGCCAGAACCTAAATGTGACACCCTTTGCCAGCAATGCCTGATTAAAAGTTCAGGGTATGCGCGTTTCCATCAGGTAAGAGGATTACCTGACTTTAATTACAATTTTGGAATATAAAGAGATTGAAGTCTTGAATAATTCCAATGTCATCTTTTTACTCTATCCTACCATAAAACTTCCATGTTCACATTTTTTAGTTTTTGCTTTTTGTTGTTGTTGAGACAGGGTCTCTCACATAGCCTAGGCAGGCCTTGAACTTGCTCCATACCTGGGAGATCCTCGAACTCCTGATCTTTCTGCTTCTATCTCGTTAATTCTGGGATTATAGGCAGGTTCTCTGATGAGTATCCATGTTCATGGTCTTAAATAACTAATGAGATTCCAGCTAATGCAAACATTGCAGGCATTGAGAAAAATTCAGGGAGGGAGGGGGAGGAGAGCTTTGAGACCTACATTCTTTTTTTTTTTTTTTTGGTTTTTTGAGACAGAGTTTCTCTGAGTAGCCCTGGCTATCCTGGAACTCACTCTGTAGACCAGACTAGCCTCGAAATCTCGAACTCAGAAATCCGCCTGCCTCTGCCTCCCAAGTGCGCCACCACCGCCCTGCGAGACCTACATTCTAAACACTCAGATGCCCAGTGATTTCTGCTTAAACCCATGGATCTCAATCTGTGGGTCACCACCCCTAGGAGAGTCAAATGATCCATTCTCAAGACTTACCTAAGACAACACAGATATCTATATTACGATTGATAACAGTGGCAAAATTACAGTTATGAAGTAGCAAGTAAACTAATTTTATGGTTGGGGGTCACCACAACACGAGGAACTGTTCTCAAGGGTCTCAGCATTAGGAAAGGTGAGAATTACAGCTTAACCACATTTGCCACTCTAGTGAGAAGGGAGGCCAGGACTTGCATGTTGGTGGCATTGTTATTTAGACTGAGACTAGGAAGTCAGGGAGAATGGAACTAGTGACCACAAAAATGTTATCTTTTACCATTGACATATGACATTGTCATTTATGAACATGTGAGGTCACAGGTTGGACACATTGCTAAGTCATTTTTAGGAAGGAGTCAATTATCAATGTTAAACCTTTAAGAGCAGTATCCCAAAACAGCTCTTTACTAACCATACATTAAAATACTGTCTTTGGGTTTTCAGATGAAATCTACACCCCTACTTTAGACAAATGTCTTTAATTATTTTGAGAAACAAAATAGCTATTTATCAGAATAAGCAAACTGACACTCTATTTCACAGGTCAGAGACTATAGTTGACACACATTGATCAAGCATACTATGTAGCTTCCAGACATGGTGATTTGTAATATATGAAAAGCAATTTGAAAAATCCATTCTTTCCAGGATTGCACTTTGACTCTTAGAAATTAATAATCATAAAGTAATAATTGAAAAAGGGAGGCTATATTTGCAAAGCTGTTCACTCACATTACTGTTATCTATGACAGCAAAAAAGGAGGGTGGTTTACAGTCTAAATAGTCCAAGATAACAGAGAGCCTGAGTGAATTATGTTATAACATTATACAGCTGTAAAGACCATGAAGCCAGGTGGCAAAGTTCTGTCAATATATAGGCAGTGGGAAGAGACATCAAAGTGCTTATTATGTGCAAGTGTCAGATTAGAAGAGCTTTCAGACAACTAGTGATTTTACCAGCATGTTAGAACTATGGTCATAAGCTGTTTAAGTTACACACACACACACACACACATTTGCTATGGCAATAGTACAGGTTTACTCAGGTCTATGCCCCAGCTTCTTTTCTGCACCATTCATTCTGAGGCTCTCTCGGAAAGGCATCTTTGCTGGTGGGAATTCTGCAGGGCTAAGGTTAGCAGAGTGGCCTTACTGAGGTTCCCAAGTGCCAACCTGGGCCACTTCTTTGGTCACATCTCTGAAGAAAAGATCAAGGTATTATGTGGAGCATAAGAATATCTTCTAACCATATGGGAAATTCCCAGTTATCTTCTACTCTATTGTGCCAGGCTTTCCTCATAGCTGGGGTCAGGAAACTATGATTTGCTAAATGAATGTGGATTTATGGGCAGCAAAGAGAACAGAAATGTATGGAGCTTTCCATAGGGGTCCAATCTATAGTGCTCTTCCTTTGTGTATTTGAGATAAGGTCTCACCATACAGTGACCATGCTGGCCACGGAAACGTGCAATCCTCCTGCCTCTACCTTCTGAGTGCTGAGAATACACATGTGCATCAATCACCACTCCTAGCTTAGAGCTGACATGTGATCCTGTACCCACCCACGACCAAACACACCCAAGGTTTCCTGGAGTTCTGACGGCTGTCAGGACTCAATTTGGCAAGAGTTAGAGACACCCTTAGAGGAAGAAAAATGCTAATTTCTATTATGTTGATGATTCCTAAAATGGTCATACTTGTTGAAAAGGTTCCTGATCTATGTACAGGACATACATATATCTACATATCTACATATGCAGATAAGGTAGGTGTGTTACTCCTACAGCATTAGACAAGGTATTTTCCTATCGTCAGAGCCTGGGGGTTACCAGTAGGTGCCCAGCCCTACTTCTGCACGACTTTTCAACAAAGAACTCTTCCAAGAAAGAAAATAGCATTTTCCAAGGATTAAAGGGATAAAAAGTAGAGAACTCTCTTGGGAACTTCCAGAAAGTTATCAGGCAAACAAGATAATCTTCGAAACCTAGATAATTAGTCTTGGAAGAGAGGTCATGGTGAAGACTGATGACAGGCCAGTCCCAGAGATTCTGCAACTTCATCAAATAAAGATACCTGAGTTCCCTCCCTGTGTCTACACTCTGAGAGCGAGCACTCCAATGAAATGGACTCTGATCGCTAGGCCACTTCTACAAACAAGAACTTCAGGGGAGGCCAGCACATCCAGAGACAAAGTCCAAGGTGTTTCATCTTAGGAGCACATTTTATTTTGCAGCGCCAAAGAATGAACAAAATTTAAACAATAAATCACTATTTAAAACTCATACACGGGGAAATTTGTTACTAAAATGGTAAGGAACAAAGACAACACAGTAAAGGAGCTATGTGAGTGAAAAGGAAAAACTGAAACACTGTACCATTGACAGAAACAATGTATACACTTAATACATTCACTTCACATTACGTACTTAAGCCCGTATAGATTCACATTCTGGAAGCCAAGAGGCAGCTTCAACTTTAAACTTATTCTGCGTTGTATGAGTGTTTTGCTTGCATGTATGTCCATCTACATTGTGTATTCCTGTGCCTGCAGAGACCAGAAGAGGACATCAGATCTCCTTGAACTGGAGTTACAGATGGTTGTGAGTTGCCATGAGGATTCTGGGAATTGAACTTGGATCTTCTGGAAGAGTGGCCAGTACTCTTAACTGCTAAGGTATTTTTCTAGCCCTAAAATCTTTAACTTTCAATGAGATTTGTTAAAATTTAAAATAAGCAAAACAAAAAAATAGCAATACTGGCTTTTTGATACACACAGTGTCTATGATACAGTAGACTGCTCATATAATATATTTTGACAGCTTTCATTTTTCTTCTAAAATTCACATATAATTCGTAAACTCTCACCTTTAGTAAATTAGAGTCTAAATGCAATAAATACTACAGAAAGAACAATTATTAAACAGTGTTGTACATTCTGAGACTGAGGAAGGCTCATAGCAAATGGTTTTTGCCAGAATGAATTCTGAAGACTAGCAGGACCCTGCAGGATCCCTAAGGCCAGCGCCAGTGCTTTGGCTAGCTCCCTGAAATACGAGCAGCTCACATTTCGGAGTCCAGAGAAACATGTCCATGGGGAAAGGAAGGCAATACCACTTGGTCTGCCCATTGTCCACTTGAAAACAGCAGGGCAGCATGCAGCAACTTGAGACAGTTCCTAACAGACAGAGACAGGGCCCTTTCTCGGCAGAAAGGCAGAGGACCAGCAGATGCTACCTGCATGCAGCCCTTATAGTCTACTTGATGACCAAAGTCATAAAGATATTTTTTTTTATTAAAAAAAAAAACCCCAAGACCTTGTGAGTTTGACCCTACATGGTTATCAAAGTTTCTCTAATTCTCAATCCCCATCTAAACCATTCAACCAGCATGGGAATATGCTGTTGGCTGTAGAAGAAACTGCAAATGCCCTGACAGGGCTTTTTCTCACACCGGAATCTGGTGGCAGAGCTTCCGGTGACTGTGGCTTACTGACTTAGTACTTACATAGAACTATGAACCCTGTTGGAAGTGTCCAGCTGTGGCAAGGATACAAGCCTATCTGTAATGTTACCTTAGGAAATGACAGAACCCAGGCCTACGACACTTTGAGCTAGCTCTCGGCTTTATCTTAATCAGTGTCTGTGTTTTAAAGAAACAAGTGAATTAAAAAAAAAGTCATTCATGACACCACTGTATAACAAATGCAAAGCTGAATAGAGCCGGGTGTTCCTCTTCCCAGTCCTCCCCCACCCACCCCTCTGCTTCTCAGACAATCAATCATACCCTACAAACACCACAACACCAGCACTCCCTCTGCCCTGAGTCAGGGAAGTGAGGCACCGAAAGGTAAATTATACTTTGGCAAGCGGGCGATCGGACAGTTCTTTGAGCTTCTCTGAGGTAGTGGAATCTCCTCCTAACACTCTAACGGTTCAAAACCGCCTCAGTGGCTGAACTGAGAAAAGGGGAGGGCTGGCTTCAGACTCCCATGCTTTTCAGAGGGAGTGCTCGTATGATTAGTACACACCCCGAAGTCACCTTCAGTAGCACCCTCCTTACATGGAAGTAAGAAGCATGACAGTTACCATGTTAGGAGGGTAAATGCTGCCTCCCGAGGGCACAAGTCATTGCAACTTAGATTTAACTCCTTCATGTATTCTGATAAAGTGCCAGGTGCACTGTTAGGTGTTCAATAAATGTGATATCACTGAACATTTAACATCTCTGACTCAGCAAGACAACAAGCGAATTTAGCACTTAAACACCAGCCAACTGCGGCTAGAAGTCCAGGCATGGAAGTCTGTAGAAGTTTCAACCTTGGAAACTATTAAGTTCAGATGCTTTTGGGCAAAGTATGGGTGCATAATTCTCTCTCACTTAACTCCTTGGAACAGATTCCCTCAGGCCCGTAGTCATCTTATGATGTGTGGCTTTGGGGTTTCCTTCTGTAATGAACTTCTCTGAAGACAAAGCAATCAACTTTCTCTGTTGTTCTTCAAGCTTTTCTGCCAGACATTTAATCAAGACAGGGTCTACTTTAGAATCAAACTTATTCGCAAACCAGTGCCCTTCCTTTATGAGCCACCGTAGTTCTGCAGCTCCGTAAATACACACACTTCGAAGGTGAGAGCCAGTGCAATTGGGGTAGAAAAAGCCTTCATAGTAATTCCATTTGACCAGGCGGGTCTTACTCTGCAGGTCAGACACGTCCTGGGATGACCTGGAAATCCCTCCGGGTATTCCTGGTATCCGGATTAAGGTGGCCCAAAAGTGCTCATCAGGAGAGTACGTATCTTTAGACCAGGTAAAAAAGTCTTCAACGAGGGAGCTGTTGAAAATATATTTAACAAATGCTTGACTTAAAACAAAATAGGCACTGCCCACGAATACCTCAATGTTATGAGGGGGTGCCCCCTTGGAGATGTTTGTCTTTACTGGCAGCTTCATATATTCATAAGGCACCTGTCTGAGCTCATGGTGATAGGTGAACCTCTCCATCTTACCACTGGGAGGTCTCACTGTCTCTAACATACTCCTTCCTTGGAGTTTTTTCAGCTCTGACACTAATTCAAAATTTGACTTTAGGGGAAAGTCTTGCCCACATAGGTTGATGACATACTTCCACTGAACGGAAGACTTGAGAAGGTCTGATAAGCAATTCCAGTCAGCCTGGAGCCTGGAAATGTGGGCATACTCCACAGCCTCTAATTTGGAAGCAATGAAGATGTTGGGGAAGCAGTTAGCTAGGTTGTTCATGGCGGCTTTGAACGAGTCTGGTGACTTCCGGTCGTAATGGATACAGTAAAGGTTGTGCTGGTTGTAAATAGCACGGATTAACCGCTCAACCATGATGGCGTCTTTGTGGACGACCAGGGAGTAGGCTATAGGGAAGTCCTCCTCCTCTCTGGAAACGAGCTTCTCGTGGTACTGTCTTAGGGTCTGATAGACGTCACAGTCACTTGTCATCGCCACGACATCACTGTCCTCCAAGTCGATGATGGTCCGTCTTCTGATTTCCAGACTTTTGCCGATTTCCAAAGGCTCGTGCTCGTAGACCCCTGAGCAGTTAACTTCATCCCTGGCTGCGTCCTCCATCTCAGGAAACCTGTTCCTTACAAATGGTGAGGTACTTAGGGAGTATTCAACCAAGTAAATGTCTCTTTTAGGGAAGAGCAGCCTGCCCACATTTAGAAGCTTTAACAAGGAGAACAGCCATAGGGTTAAGAGGAGGACGAAGAGTTTCTGCTGGAGAGTGTATTTAAAACAACATCTGAATATCTTCATTCTGCAGAGGAGAAAGGGATAGTAACTGTTAATTATCTGATACAAAGCGAAAAATTAATTCAGTTTATCCAAAGTTTACTATGTACCACCTACTGTACATGCCACAGAATGCTGAATGCAAAGATAAAGGAAGCAAGTCCTTGAACAAATCCCCAAATAATGAAATAAAAATATAGTAAGCTGTGGGACCTTGTGACAGTCAGTGTTAACTAATATTAGCTCATTTTGAGAGATGCTGGCTATAAAACATAGGAGATAATAATAATCCCAGTTGTTCCCTAGTATGGCTGAGGGCTGGTCCCAGGACCTCCAGGAGATGACCAAGATCCACAGATGCCTACGTTCCTGACACAGAATGGCTTAATATTTGCATACAACCTACATATGGTGTCCTATCTTCCCCTTCTGTTTCTGGGTAATTTATAATACTACTGTAGTACTCACACAATACTTGTCTGCATGGATGTATTATAGCGCCTGAGGCAGGGAAAATTCTAAGTTTTGTTTCTAGGAACTTTCCAGAAGTTTCTTTTTCAGGTTTTTCAAATGAGAGTTTTGCTGAATTTGCAGACAAGCAACCCAGAGACGCAGAAGGCTGGCTATACAATGTGCCACTTGCAGCCTGCAGTCTTAGTGTATGTCAGGGGCAATGACTGTGGTTTGGGCAGAAGTAAAGAGAACTAGGTGATCAAGATGTCCTCAGAAACACACTTGAGGCCCCTCAATCATCTAACTTTATTCAACTTCAGATGCTTATCCGATGGAGGCCTGAAGTCTGTTAGAGCAGTCCGGAGAACCCCGTTTCCGAAATAGCAGCAAACGGATGGTAAGATGCAGATTCTAAAAATTGCAAAAGTCTTATTTCTTTCTTTGCTGGTCCCCATTTTCTCACAGGGTTTAGCATAATGGTCTTCAGACTGAGAAAAGTCCAGCACTTATTCAGAGTAGAGTTATAAAAACGTCCTTGGGCTTACAGTGTGTAGCCTTGCCTGTGGAAAAGTCAGTGTTCCACAGCTTGTAACAAGACACCTTGGCCTTGAGCTCCAGTGGCCAGGATTCACTCTGTGTTTGGAAGAGCAAAAGCTAAGACCCAACAATGTACCAACACCCCTGAACTGGGGCTGCCATTCAACAAAGGTGGGGTGTGGACCTGGCAGGGGGCGGAGAAGGAGGGACACGTGGGAGCGGCCCGGTTCTGCCCGCACTGAGCCAAGCCCCTTCGGATCCCCACATGGAAGCGTCCACCAGGGAACTAGAAAGGCCACCCACTCAAGCTTGGGTGAGGGGCGATGGCTGCAGAGAGATGTGTCAGTGACATAAATGTGGAACTGCAAATCCTGATGCCTGGGTGAGCACGGAGGAGATGGTGAGCTGAGAAAAGCACCCCAGGCAACTACAGAGGGTAGGCTGAGATGTGGTCTCAGGGAACGGGACTCGGCAGCACAGGCCAAGGGCGCCATGCTGCAGGCTTAGACACCTGCGCGTACACGTATAGAGGCACTGTGATAAAACAAGGAGGAGGAGTCCACTTCAAGCACACTTTATAGGTCAGGGATCTTAACGGACATCCGTTATTTATCCCTGTTGTAGTGGGAAGATGTTTAAGAACACCAACACAGACTTATCACCCACAATTCCCTCTTCTTTCTCCTCCAGCCGAGCAAGATGCCCAAAGGAAAGAAGGCCAAGGGGAAGAAGGTGGCCCCGGCCCCCGCCGTCGTCAAGAAGCATGAGGCCAAAAAGGTGGTCAATCCTCTGTTCCAGAAAAGGCCTAAGAACTTCAGCATTGGGCAGGACATCCAGCCCAAAAGAGATCTAACACGCTTCGTTAAATGGCCCCATACATCAGGCTGCAGCGGCAAAGAGCCATCCTCTATAAGCAACTCAAAGTACCTCCTGCCATTAACCTGTTCACCCAGGCCCTGGACAGGCAAACAGCTACTCAGCTGCTTAAGCTTGCCCACAAGTACAGGCTAGAGACAAAGCAAGAGAAGAAGCAAAGGCTACTGGCCCGTGCTGAGAAGAAAGCTGCTGGCAAAGGAGAAGTCCCAACTAAGAGACCACCTGTTCTCTGAGCAGGAGTCAATACAGTCACCACCTTGGTGGAGAACAAGAAGGCTCAGCTGGTGGTGACTGCCCATGATGTAGATCCCATTGAGCTCATGCTTGCTTCTAGTTGGTGGTTTTCCTGCCTGCCCTGTGCAGAAAGATGGGTGTGCCCTACTGCATCATCAAGGGAAAGGCCAGGCTGGGTCACCTGGTCCACAGGAAGACATGCACCACTGTTGCCTTCACACAGGTTAACTCGGAAGACAGGGGTGCTCTGGCTAAGCTGGTGGAAGCTATTAGGACCAATTATAACGAGGTATGACGAGATCCTCCGCCACTGGGGAGGCAACGTCCTGGGTCCTAAGTCTGTGGCCCGAATTGCCAAGCTGGAAAAAGCAAAGGCTAAAGAACTTGCCACTAAACTGGGTTAAAAAATAATGTACACTTAAGTTTTCTGTACATAAATATAATTACAAAATTATCTTCAAAAAAAAAAAAAAAAAAAAAAAAGAACACCAACACAGGCTCCTGGAGTCGTCGGGCCATGGTTAACCTAACTTCACATTCACATAAAGAGACACGGGTCAGCTCTGCCCCTTGCCAGGGCCTCAGCATCCTGTTCCTTCCCTCTGTGGGTCCAGCCCTGGGCTTGGAGAGTCTGAGCTGTCAGGGAGCCAGTGCTAGCTGCCCCAAACAGGCCAGTCCCAGAGGACTGGACTAGTGTAGGGGAGGTCCTGGGAGAAGCCCTCTGGAACAGGCTGTGACTCCCTGCTCTGGCCTATTTCGGGGAGGGACAAAGGTGAGTTTCAAAAGACAAAGGGGAGGCGCTGGGACAGCCCAGGCCTGTCCTGGCTCTGAATGTCTGTCCTGCTCCCCAAGGATCTTTTAGGAGGAAAGCTTGTCTGGCCGAGGGCAGCCTTTGATTTGAAAGAAGTACCTTCCAGTATTAGTATCCTGTCCCAAGTCAAAATAAAAACACCCCGATGGATTCCCAGCACAGTCCTTTAGCTAAAAGCATCCCAGTGTTGGGAAAGACAAAGTTGGGTGGCCAGGAAAGGGGGACAGCAGGTGAATATAATCAAAGCACGTTGCATAAAATTCACAAAGAACAAGGAAGGGGTTTGCAAAAGTCGAATTAAAAAAAAAAAACAAGAAGAACAGAAAGGAGGCGGGTGGCATGCCCTCTGATTTTAATGAGTTCCTGCCAATTACTAAACAGGGATGTTGGCCTCCTTCCAAGCTACTGGCCATGCTGAGAAATCACTTCTGATTCCTGGGTACTACAGAGGGAACGCTCCCCCAGGAGGTCCCAGACTAAAACCTCCAGCCTTACACAGCACCCTTGTACCTAGCCACTGGGTTCGGCAGAGACCAGAATGGCCCAAAGGACCTCCAGCTTCAGGGGTGAAGGTGGCCAGGCCAACATCTACAAATTATAGTCCCTTCTATCTTCCTGCCACCTGTACTGTAGACCTGAGGAAACCCCTGACACCTCAGACACAGAGGATATAAAGGAGCCCTGAGGCCTTACACAGGTCAGAAGGGTGGGCTAGGCTAAGCTGGCCCTCAAGCTGGCCACACTGTTCCTAGGAGGCCAGTCTACCACCTCCTGTAAACACTCCAGTGGCTACTTTTCTCTCTAGGCTTATGGGCAGGCAAGCAGTTTGCCATCTGGGAGTATATAACAGTTACACTATCAATGGCTTCTAATTGAAGAAGGGGATCTCCCTTCTCACCTGGGTACACTAGGAAGTTGCCTTGGGGAGTCTAGACCACATAGACACAGGTTCCTATGCCAATCATACTGCAAGAAGATAATTCCGGCAATGTTTGACAGCTCACATAAATAAGTGATTCAAGCGAAGACCATTCCTCACTAACGCCCAACAAGGAAGACATGAAGCATTTCCCTATCCACGCTCTTCTCAGGTCTCCCAGGCATCAGAGACAGAGACAGTGAGTGACAAGATCCACAGCAACTGAGTGCTGATACCCGCACGCAGGGCCAGTGGCAGCAGGCACCGGCAGCTGGACAACCATCTTTTAAGCTAACCATCTTGAGAGCCCAGGGCCATCAGAGCAAGAGAGTGCCCCTTTTTCCAGAGAAGGAAGGGGAATAGTAAATCAGGAATAAAAGTATGAAGACTGGGAAGAAAATTAATGAGTGAGTTTCAGCTTTTACCAACCAAAAACCGAAGGCTGACGGGATGTCTTAGTGGCTAAGAGCACTAGCCGCTCTTCCAGAGGATACCAGGGAGATCCCTACCACCCATTTGGAATCTTAAAACTCTCTGTTACTCCATCTCCAGAGGATCCAATGTCCTCTTTGGGCCTCAGAGGGCACTTCACACACGTGGTGCACAGACATACACGTAGGGGAAACACCCATACACATAAAATGAAAATAAAATTTCAAAAAAAAAGAAAAAAAAGAAAAAAGAATTTCACGCTTATAGTGCACTCTGGGAACTTACAGAGCTTGCCAGACATTGGAGAGAAAGAGATGGAAGTGGTGGGCTTTAGGATGTCACAGAGCTGGGCTTGAGGACTCCGGAAGAACACTCAGTAGCTGTGTCTAGGTGACCTCTCTGAAGGTCAGTGGTTTTGTTCAAATATGGGATTTAGAAAACCAGTCCCCCTCTAGTGTCCGGCATCTTAAATTGTATGCTGTATATGAGGTCACATAGCTGATTACAGAGTTCATGAAAATTTTAGTTACAATAAAAGATTTATGAAACCTTCCCTTACTTACAAGGCTCTTTCTTTCTCATGGCTAGCTTGCTTAACACATTCTGAAACTTTTTCAGTGCACTAATTATACAGGGCTTACTGAGTTTATCTATCTTAAAAGATTGACTTCTATTTTGTGGTCATATATATATATATATGTGTGTGTGTGTGTGTGTGTGTGTGTGTGTGTGTGTGTGTATGCATGTGTATCTGTATGGGGTT